TGAGCATACATATAAGCCGTATGGTTCACCATATTACAAAAATTCAGATGAAATAAGAATTCCAATCAATTTTCAAGATCTTATACTCGATATTGCAGATAGTTACATATATATCGAGGGAAAGTTCACACCATCTGATGCCACGAAGCAATATATCCAATAATGCCCTCGCCTTTCTCTTCGATGAAATTCGCTATAAAATGGGTGGATAGCAAGTGGCCGTTGTTCGAAAACCCGGCATAACTACCACAATGGAAACGATGATGTGAATAAACAAGACATATTGGATTCTGTCAGCAATGTATTCTGCGGTAAATTACCCTTGAAGTATCTCATGGGTTTTGCTGAAAATTACAATAAGGGGATACTGAATGTAAAACAGGAGCTCATTTTGATTATAGCACGATCATTCAAAAAATCATTTATTGGGGAAGTCGATGCAGATTTGGAAATCAATAAAATAGAAGGGAGAATCAGACACATTGTGTCGTAAGATCGACAGAAACTGAAACTATTGAATCGCATTAATAAAAATGGTAATAATGCTAAGGTGAAGGTGGCTTATCGTATGTGGGACCTTTATGAATTACCCACACTTCGTGACACATCCGCGAATATATGGGCCGTGAAGACGACCAATAGTCTTGAAAGACCTCGATACATCATCATCGGCTTTCAAAACACCGACCATTCCGAAAATATATCAAAAGATGTAACGAAATTCATACATGTGAATAATAATAATATTCGACTATCTCTGAACTCCGAAGTTTACCCATATGAGCGTTGGATTCTGGATTTCAACAAGAAGTTAGACTCATCAGCCTATTTTGCATATGAAAACTTCCAACGCAGCTACTATAATGAAGCTATGAGTGAACCGATGATGGATATTGGCAGCTTTCGCAACAACCCACTATTCATCATCGACTGCTCCCATCAACCTGAAGCTATGAAGTCATCCACTGTCGACATCAAAATTGAATTCGAAACACGCAAGTTGAAGTTTTCAGCGAATACCAAAGTATATGCACTAATCCTCCACGATGCTGTTTTATCTTATAATGCTCTTAATGGGTCTGTTCAGACTGGATTGTAATAAGATTGACATGTAATTCATCATGAAATATTCGATAATAAAACACTCAATAATTATTTCCTGCCTTTTATTCATCAAACAATTATATAAGATAAGATAAGATAGATAAGATAATATTTATTGACCAAAACGCGATACACTTGGTATATGTGGTAAGTCAGGGTATATATTTAAAATATGACATTATGAGGACCCCAAGTCAAATAATCAAATGAAAAGTACATTCAGTGAACTTACATCGCAGTGATAAGGCACACACAAAATAAGCAAAAATATATACATAATAACAATATTAGACTAGGAATGCCAGACAAAACTTTAAATTAAAATGTATTTGAGTTGTTTGGGAGATCGTCGTTCAAGAAGTCCTGATAACTATAATAGCATTTCTGTATTAGAAGGTTTTTAATTTTGTTGTTAAATTTTAGGTTACTCTTGACCTTTTTAAATTTATCTGGTATCTTATTGAAGCAGGTGATAGCATTGTACTGTGGAGATTTTTTGAAAAATGACATACGATGTTGAGGGATTTGCAATAGATGTCCATTTCTGGTATTGTAGTTATGGACAGTGGCGTTCTCTGTGAAGAGATTAGGGTTTTCCCTAGCAAACATTATGCATTTCAAGATAAAGATGCAAGGCGCTGTTAACATTTTTTTCTCAATAAAGATAGCACGGCAACTGTCCCTGTAGTTCATATTGAATATAAGTCTTATAATTCGTTTTTGGGCAACAAAAACTCTCATAAAATCATTTGCCCTCCCCCAGATCATAATATTAAAATTGATATGGGAGTATACCATAGCATAATAAATGCTGAGTAACGCTGATTCCCTTAATGTTGATTTCAGTTGCTTTATTGCATAGTATGCTTTATTTATTTCAGAACATGTATTGTCTACTTGTTTTTCCCAGTTTAGATTAGAATCTAAATAGGTACCAAGAAATTTCGTCACCTGTACGTTTTCAATATCATATGTAACAGGAGCATTTAGAGTATCAGTCCTAAAGTGAAACTTCATCGATACTGATTTGGAGGTATTAAGGATAAGTTTGTTTCTTTGGCACCAAGATCTGAACTGGTCAACAATACTTTCAGATTTACAAATAAGTTGCTCAACGTTTTGTCCCGTTAAAGTTATGGTAGTGTCATCCGCAAACATCGTAATGTGTCCATCTTCTATATATTGAGGTAGGTCGTTTGTATATAGGAGAAACAGTAGGGGGCCTACAACCGAGCCCTGGGGCACACCGAGTGTTATCTTTTTGGTCTCAGAGAACGACCCATTGCAAAGTACCTTCATGTTTCTTTCGGACATGTAAGATTGTATCCAATTAATTATATTAGTTGGGAGACCTAAATTGGATAGTTTAGGGAGTAGAAACTCCGGGCACACTGTATCGAAAGCCTTCGATAAATCGAAGAATAAAGAGAGGACATATTTTTTGTTTTCGATCTCAGTGTATATATAATTCATTAGATGATAAGATGCTGTTTCAACCGATTTTTTTCGTCTAAAGCCATGTTGGGAATCGCATAAAAGATTTTCATTTTCCAAATGGTCCATTATTCTTACCGAAACTACTTTTTCAAAAAATTTTGATATAGAGGGGAATAAATAAATTTGTCTGTAATTTTCAATTTCTTTGCGGCTTCCTTTTTTATGTACGGGAATAATTACCGCTCTTTTTAAAACATTTGGAAAAATACCTTGTATTAGAGATTGTTTCATAAGGTAAGTTGATGGTTTAATAATTGTTGGAATGATTTTCTTGAGAGTGATTATAGAGAGTTCATCATAGCCTGCAGATTTTTTATTTTTCATTTCAGACAGAGCGCTTAGTACCTCGTATTCCGTTAGAGGGTTGGATGAAAAAGGTAATATGGTACCAACCAATTTAGGGGTAGTACAGGGAAGGGATAAATTTTGTCCAAAGTGGTGGAAGAATATATGATACACTAAGCTTATATAGAAAATCATCCTCGAAAAGAGGGAGGGGTTCAAGGTTATGCATCGATGACAGTTATATCTCAAGGTCAAAGCACAAGTCCAGAACCATGCCTCGAGGACCTATGATGTGACATCATACAAGGTCAAACGTCGAGGTCACGTATTGAGGAAGGATAAATCTCAATATTGGTCATATTGAACGTGCATGGTCATATTGAACGTGCATAATGCAAGATCCATGAGGTATCTATCAAAACCAAACTTCAAGGTCACATATTGAGGAATATACTCGAATCTCAAGGTCGACACCCATGATCAAGGTCATATCGTCTGACACGTAACTGAAGGTCATATGACGTCATTCAAGGACAAAGCCAAATGGTGGGGGGAGGTCCTCAAGCGGCCGTAGACAACTACTCCTGCTTCATCAGACATGCTTTGATTTTTAGCAATATCTTTGTTACAAGTATTTAATAAAATTTGTTTTTTCTTTTTTTTAACAAACGATGGAGCTTTAGATGTATCTGTCGTCGGTCTATCAATCTGGCAATCAAATATATGCGGAATTACGCCTGCTTTCAATATAATTTTTCCCATTTTCATAGTTTTGATATACATGCAATTTTTTACCTAAAATTTAAAGTAGTGCTTAGAGTAAACTATATATTTTTTTATTAATCATTATAAAAAATGCGTCCTCTTGGGAGATACAAAGTCGTCCCTCTGCATAGCGCGGCGTCATAACTTTCGTGATTTTAAGTTACTTGGCAGTGAAATATTTGTCTGGTGCAGTTACCAAAACATTTTTGCATTTGGGAACGATGCAATACTTGTTACGTCCTTTTTTATCATTATTCATATTCACGCAGTTGACACACTGCAGTAAACGACACACAACTTGTTTCCTACGGCTTTAGCACACGTATTTCGCTTATCCGCCAGCACTCCCTTGTCGCCGAGTCGACTGATGTGACGTCAAGCTTGACAACATTCAACTAATAATTTGAGGGGAAAGATGAAGAGTGAAAATTCAGATTTTTTGCAGATGTACTATTTGAAATATAAACCTTCAAATTATGAATTCTGACAAAAATATAATGGTACACCCGGTATAATGATTAATCAAAAATGTGGGGTGTTCGTCACATGGCCCATGTAAAATAAAATCAGATAACGAGATTAATTATAACGGTATTCGGTATCCGTCAACTCATTAATAATATCAATATGAAGGGTGTTCAGAGCACACGGCCTTCTTCAAAATAAAATAATCAATGACAACACAGGTATGTTACATCAAGGGTGTTCTTCAAACGGCCTTTAATATAAAACGGCCAATTATTTGTCTAAATACCAAACAAACTGAGAACCACAACTTTTTATCTCACCCTTTTCTTTCTGTTATGCACTTACTTTTTTGTCTACCGTTTTGCCGTTATTTACTGGAACGCTAACTCAAACGGAGCTGGAACTGTATCGAAACTGAAACTGAGACTCAGACTACCTTGGTAGATGCTCTCGATATTATTTGAAATAAAGTTCTACGCGGTGTCCGGTGAAAGGAGTTGTGATGGAGTTGTGGCCTCCATCGGTGGTACGGTGTATTAACAAATAACTTATGACTTTCAAATCCAATTGGCGACCTGGCATAGTACAATTTGCTATCAACATAGAGTGGCAAATCGTTTTGGCGACCTGGGATTCCTATCGCGATAGAGTGGCACTTTGACCTAGGAAGGTATTCATTCAGTTGGGATCAAATAAGCAACGGAACAATAATATGAACAGAAAATAAAAACAGCTGTTTATACCTGACGCAACACTGGGGAAATTATTAACCTCGTTACAGAGTACAACAAATATTCCTTGAAATATGAAGGTACATGACACTAAAACAAACAAAAGTATTTCAACAGTAACTAGCAACGTTCATTCAATTCAATTTGCAGGTCCGAAATTTGGCAAGAGACATGAACAGGTATTATGTAACTTTTTCCTGACTTTCATCGCATATAGTGTCAGAGTTAGTATGTCTGTCGCTATTGTTGCTATGACTAATCCATCTACCAGTGCCAATAGAAATATTCCGGTGAGTGTATTTATTTTCTCATTTGATATGTTTTGAAATTTGTCCCGTTTAATTACATGTTTTCTTCAATATCGTGAAGGAACTGAACTTCTCAGTTGAAGTAGAGTCATGAAAAGATTATTATCTCAACGATTTATCTGGGATACAAATGAAATACTTCAATGGGTCTACAATGAGTACAGTTGATCAATTATTAATGAAAACCTATCGAAATATTCACTGTTTGATTTCAGACCTTCAACTGGACTGACAAAAGTATAGTTCTCTCTTCATTTTTCTGGGGATACGTTATTCCCCAAGTTGGAGCTGGATGGTTGGCAGGACAGTATGGTCCCAAGTGGTTCTTAGTGGGATCGATGGCAATTTGCTCGATTTCAGGATGTTTTCTGCCAATGTCTGCAGTTCATTTCGGATCGAAAGGAGTTATGGCTTGTAGAGCAGTTCAAGGATTATGTCAAGGATTCATCTATCCGTCCATTCATAGTATATTGGCAAAATGGGTTCCCCACAATGAAAGAAGCTTTTTGGCAAATCTTTTATACTCAGGTATGGAAATAATGAGAGAATTGACAATTTTGAGAAATTATTTACAATAGTGTGGTAAAAAACAGAAATGGGAAAGCGTCTTTCAAAAAACTGCTTCAGAAATAGATATATTATACTTTCCCGAGCTACCATTCATGAACTTTTCAGTCATCTGATTTGGATAACTCAACATTTTCGAGTTTTTCACAACCAAGTAGTGTTTTCATTACATTAAATATTTAGCAATAAATTGATAGACGTAGCCGTTACTACGTTGTAGGAAATCATCATGAAAAATGAGAATTGAAAATTTCTGTTTTAATGATTTTCCTTCGTAACTAACGTAATTGCAGTTTCATCATATAAGGACATTTTCAAACTTATTCATTGAACTGAAAATGATTGATTACATTAGCCCTTAGATAACACCACTGTAGGTAATAACAGAATTACTCAACTTAATTGAGTACCTGAATTTTGTTTATCTGTGACTATGTGGATACGCTAATTTGAAAACCGGTAAGTGAACTAGATTGATTTGATTATTCTACAGGTTGACCTAGGTCAGTTATAAATAAAAGCGGTAAAAACAGAGAATTTCTATTCTAATTTTTCATCAATAATTATCGTTTTTTTTCACTTACTGAAACTGCCGACCTACCTCAATATTATTTCAGTAGTTCTTTGATCAAAATATATTTCCAAGAATTTGATATGAAGTATCAAATTACGTGTTTCAGGAGGACCAAGTGGATCTGTGGTATCGATGATTATGACTGGGTACTTATCCGAATCGTCCTATGGATGGCCAATGATATTTTATATCTTGAATGGTTTAGGAATAGTTTGGTGTGCAGTTTTCTCTTATGTTGGTTGCAATAGCCCTGCCGATCACACCACGATAACTGAGGAAGAAAGAAAATATATTGAAGGAAGTTCAGGCTCTACAGAAAAAAAAGGAGTGAGTTGAAATTATTGTATTAAAATTTAAAAATTTACTGTCACAGTGCGAACTTAAATTTGAAGGAATACATCATCAGGATGAATTTACGGTAATTTTTTTTCAATATCATCAACTTTGATAAATCCTGTCTAGCAAAATAAACAGATCATGCACAGAAGTTTTTTCAGATACTTATTGGAAAAGTTAATAAAGAATGATAATATAAATATTAGTGATTTCTTGAAAATTTATTCAAACTATTCAGAGAAACTATTCAGATAGGAAATAAAACCTTTTTTGACACATAGGGCTCATCTCATATTTGAATACCAAAAAAATTACAAAAAATTTCGTCATCATGACATGAGTGGATTTGTCCCATAAGTGACATAGGAATATTATTCAGAAAGGAGCTGATGTGGCAATGAGACAAGTAAGAATGTCTGTGTTTCATGTTAGTGGAATTTTCTGTCGTATATGTGATTCAATTCCATTCCAATCATTCCTATGAATATTTGCAACACAAGTAATAATCAATTCTTGTATATTTCATATGCTCATATGGAAGTAGTTGTTTAGAAAGTATATTTTCTTTCTTGTAATCCAATGTTCATATTAGTGTAGTTGTGTCGGGTGGGCTTTTACTTTCAGTTTGTATTTGAAAGTAACTTCTGTGCATGATCTAAACATCTTGCGAAAGGTTTTTTAAAGTTTCATTGTATTCATCTCTGCTTCAGAAGTTTTTCGACAATTTCTTGTATTAAGGTGGATAAGTAAAATGCAAAACGTTTCCTTCCCAGAAACAGATCACTTCTGATAATATACCCTTCACAATTATTACTGAGACATATCAATCAATGTGTTTAAAGTTGTGGAATGATTGTGATTGTTGATTTTCATAATTATTATTATGATTGCATGCATGTGATTAATTGAACCACAAATAAAATGATGAATACTGTTCGAAGTATATAATATTGAAAAATGTATAGCTTGAGACAATGGATGTTAATGATATTTGTTGACTTCTTTGTCCAATACTCGATTGCAACCTTTTTTTGAAAGTGCCTGGAATCGACGGCTTGTAACGTCTGATTTGCGATGATTTCTTGATTGAATTAATATTTTGATCGATGATTTGTTGGTACTTGTTGTATGTTATCGATGCTGATTCTCAACCGTTTTAATGATATTTGGCTATCGAAGGACCAAGTTTAAAGTTGTGGAATGATTGTGATTGTTGATTTTCATAATTATTATTATGATTGCATGCATGTGATTAATTGAACCACAAATAAAATGATGAATACTGTTCGAAGTATATAATATTAAAAAATGTATAGCTTGAGACAATAGATGTTAATGCTACGTATGTCAACTGATGACTGACTGCTGACCCGACAGATGGGCCGAGCAAGTGCGCAGACACCTATGATAATAAATGAAACATGGTGGGTCACCAAAATATTACCACAAATCATAACAGTTACTATTAACTGATTCCGCTGATTAACGGAAAAACAGATTTTTTTTATTCTACAACCCGAAGACTTCTTTGACCTCAAACAAGCAGCCGATTCGTACGTCAACACTACAAAATCAAATATTTCCAAATGCAGATGGATTAGTCCGGTTGATGTCCGGTCCTCAAATGTATTTGATTGTGTCCGAAAATATTACCCATTTTTTTTGTTTTCTATGAAATTTCACACTAGAATAAAAGTATATACAAATTGAACCTACAGCAATAGTCGAATCAAAATAAGGCAACAGATTTTTTTTATAAATTTAACGACTTCAATATACCACGATACCAAATTTTTGTATTTGACTAATTCTTAAAAGCGCCTGCAGACAGCAGCTTCTCATTTTAGATAGTCGCGTTTGTCATATTCTGACAACAATATTGCAAGTGATTAATAGAATTTCATTATTCCGTTTTAGTTTTTCCTTTTCTAGAAAACAATGACGCTCGTGAGAGAATACTTATTTTATTAAACTGGGCCGGATTGGATCACTTTACAGACGAACGAACAACCCATCATTTACTTAACTTTGACCTACACTAGGCATGAACATTATTAGTCGCATGGCGCGCAGGAATATTTCAAAATACCTGCCCGCTAGCCCGCAGGAATCGCGGCAGCACGTGTCTGGTTACCGTGCGTGCGATAATGATGAAGCTATATTTGAAAACTCCCTTGACGATATATGATGGAATCGGCCGATACTTGATGAAAATCTATAACTAACGTATTCCAAAAACACTTTATTGTGAGATTTTCACTAAATTGTTTTACGAAAACGCAACACGTGTTTCGCCATACAATGGCTTCATCTGGCATCACGCCAGAAACACGAAACACGTGTTGCGTTTTCGTAAAACAATTTACTGAAAATCTCACAATAAAGTGTTTTTGGAATACGTTCCCTTGACGATCTCTCTCCACGACATTTTTTTGTTTTGAAGATGTGTGTTGGTTGTTTGTGTTTGATATTCAGTACTTGTTGATCACATTAGATATTGGACAATGTCGCGGCCAATACTATGATAATGGGTCCAATATGGCCGGCATCTATAATGGAGTACAAGTCGTGATTGCAGAAAGGACCGAGTTCGTACCGTGCTTGGCTCACTTTAAATCTTGTAGGTATTCATTCTGCCCCATTATGCCAGGAAGCTATTTGGACTGATTAAAAAGTATATTGCTTTTGTTGACTCCACTACTAGGTGAGAAATTTTGAAAAATATGTTAAAACACATTTGAAAGAAAGTATCTAGTCGGACGAGATTGTCTGCGAAATATCTTACTGTGAATGTCCTATTGAATAGTTTGCAAGTAGTAAAAGCCTTAGCAGTTAAGCAAACTTATCATGCTTCAGAAGCTAAATACAAGGCAGGTTATCTTTTAACTGCTATAAAAAATTGAATGTGCGAGGAAATTGACCTATTTGGGCGAATATTTTTCACGAAATCAATCGAGTGAAAATAGAAATTCAGAATGGAGATATTATCCTTGCCCGTTCAGTCGCACTAATTAATGGTCTGTTCGAAACTGACCAAATGGAACAAAATACAATGAAATATTGAATAAAAGAGGCAGGAGAAGTTCATGAGAAACTGGTGTTGTTTTACATAACAAACGAATTCTGAAATTCAAAAAACATTTCGATGAGATTTGTGAAGATGAATTATAAACACTCCAACCTGTTCAACTATTTCTAGAGAAATAATGATGGTATTTGATGTAATCAAATTGTACTACCATGCTGAATTTGAATTTTGCTTTTCTTGACAGTACTAATATTTTGAAAATGTCAGTTCAAAAACTGCAAAAGTATGAAGCAGATCTGGCTCGAGAAAACGGGCGAAATTTAAGCACCGATGAATTCTGCCAGGAACTCGTTTTTACGTTTTTAATTTTTATTTGGTGATACAGAAAATGTTATTGGTTTCTATCTTTTTTCTGTATATTTTGTACTGCCCTGCTAATTTACTATACCGACTACATCCGCAAACTGTGAGTGAAGTTTTAGCAAACCAAAACTAATTAAAAATCACTTGCGATCTTCTATGAGCCAGGAACGCATATCGGGTCTTAGCGGTAGAAAATTACCTGTTATTTGAATGAATTGTACATTTTTTTAAAATCTACTGGAATAATATATTTGAGTTCCGCACATGACAGATGATATGTAAAATAGTTTTTTGAATATGTAGTATTACTGCATTCACTTCAGCTATTTAACCCGATTTTCGTTTTGAAATTTGCTACATAGTTAAAAAAAGGTGAATAAAAACGGGTACTTACTGAACTTTTGAACGGTTGAGTATTCGCATAATACTCTATAATGCTCAACGAAACGTAGATTATATTCTTCCCATTCATTTCTAACGCCTTCAGTACGTATTCCAAGCAGTTCATCTTCATGAACTCAAAATTTTCGTATATGTTGCACATTATATGGCTTTCAATAGCGGTTAATAATTTAAAAAGGTTTGTATCGTCATGTTTGCTTTTCAGTTCTTCAATGAGCTCATGAAAACACATAGATTCAAATTCTCCTGCCATTTCTTCCTCAAAATATTATTTCACTGCCGTAACTCAATTTCAACTTTAAATTTGAAATTTCCAAATTTGGTGGGGACACTGATCACTTCTATTCATCAATAACTTCAGAAATAATAGAATTGAATAGTAGATGATAATTCTTAAATACATTCCGAAGTACTGAGAAGAAGAAATCTTGTACGTGTCACTATTCAGACAATGTTTCCGCATGTCATGTAAAATTGCCTAGAATTCGTGCGGAACTGACTCGTATTCGACTTGATGTCTTTGAAATTTTCGTATCTTATAATCTACACTCACAGAGATACAATGAAAAATCAATATTATCTGTTATTTTCGAAAAATCTATGTTCATGAATCACTGTTTTCGTCTTGAAGAAATACCTAATTTAGCACTATTCGTCAAATATCTTTCAAATCGAAGATCAATACCTCGACAAAAAAAATGACAACACCCAGGCGCTACAGATAGTTTAGATTCAAGCAATGTGACACATGAAATTATGTAATACTGAGGCATAGAAGACTCAAAAAGTAGTAACTTGTGAAATATTTTTTTTTTATTGACTACTATAGGACATATGGGTGCAAGGTATGTTAATAGCAACTTCGGAAAGTTGAACATAAATAGATTACGAGCTATACTACGTTCTTTCAAATACTTACTTGTAAAATGTGAGTGCAATAATAAGAACAATTCAGAGTTATAAGAACACGACTATGAAAAAACTCGAAAATGTGAAGAATTAGGATGAGTTAATTGTTTTGTATATTGAATGTTTTTTCCACGTACTATTCAAATGTGCTTTGCTTGAACACCATCAGAACCGGAATTAGTATACGACTGAATAAGTAGAATGATACTATTTCACGTCGACAAATAGTACAAATTGTTGAACTATGGTGTAGTGGTGTCAATTTTGTACAACAATGCTCAGCTCTGCCTTTGAGAATGAGTTCCTACTACAGAAAAACAAAATAAGGTTTCATTTTGCCTACGAGCAGTGGTCTGTCACTCTCGACCATCTCTGGTTCTTCAGGCCAGATCTGAAGTCTTCCTCTCAGGGCGTTTATACTTGTGCCAGAAACAACAAAACACGTTATTAA